AATATTTATAGGAAGTTTACTCACGAGATGAAGGAAATATGCCAGATGATCATGACAATGATTTGTTTGAAAAAGTTACAAGACAAATCACAAATCGTATCAATGTATTAGAAGATTCAATAAAACAAGGTGGTGATAAAAGCAGTTCTAGTACCGGAGTTTCACGAGGTTCTCATCCAAGAGGTGATAATGGCGACTCTGGTCTTGATGGTATCATGCATATAATGAATTTTCAGAACAGTCAAATTTCAGATCTGAAAAAGGATTTAGAAGAATTAAAAAAAGTTTTAATACATAATAAAACAAAAATGGCATTTAAAGACCAACCTGCACCCTTAGAGCAATCTTCGTACAAGGCCCCAAATCTTACATCTCAAAAGACAATAGAACCCGCTAAAATATTTACACCATCGCAACAAGCAGTTCTTAGTTATCCATCATCTTCTGGTGTTAGCTATTATCCTCCTCCATTATATTCAAACGCATTCGCTGAACAACAAAAACCCTTAAAAGAACCTACTCATCAGATTTTTTCAGGTACTTTATCAAAACAACAAAATCCAGGATATATTACGGATCCTGAACATATGGGTGGTATGGGTCGTGGAAAACGAAGACGTCGTGGTAAGCGAGGTGGGAATGGTAATGGGTACGACAGCGATCAAAACAGTGTTTTTTCTGAGCAGATTCCATTAGAGAATTTTAGGCGTCCTCCGAGTCCCAAATCTGTAGCATCGTTACCTACTGGTAAACGCAAGAAGGGTAAAAAGTTAACTAAACCTCTTACTGGTAGTTGGGAAGATATACGCACAGATTTACACGTATAAAACCATTTCTACAGCGCAGCTGTAAATGGTTGTTGTACTATTCCAAAAAACATGGCGTTTTTTGACGAATTTAAGAAAAAAAAAAAAAGTTGAAGGCGCGTCATGTGAGATGCTTTGGTATATTGCTGGGATATAAAGTTGGTTTTATATGGAACTCAGATCCCTTATTTTAGAAATCAACTATTATACATTTTACTTCCAAATTTCGTAATTTATTTTTATAATTCAATTGCTCCGATAAATCAGAAAACATGTCATAAATCGATTGAGAAAAGTTTATATTAAAATCAGCGTTTATTTTTTAAAAAATATTTTGAATTCAAGTATGTTTTTTACTTTACAAATTAGCAAGATTGCTATTTGGAAGCTTATTTTTTTTTGGAGCATTTTTTTAGATATCAGGTTTTTTAAATTTTTGCAGTAAAAAAAAAAAGAAAATTTGTTTGTTATAAAATAAATAATAGTACTTATAAATTATTAGAACTTTTTCTTTCAGGTAAAACTTCAGGTAAAATTGGAGTTTACAAACATTCTTTTTTGCACTCCTATAACTCAATATAAAATTGTATAAATTAACGGTGAAACATAAAACAGTACTTGTGAAGACATCTTAAGAGTCTTGAAAACGATTTTAATATGGTGAAACAGCTACTATTAGAGCTATGTTTTGAAAAAAAAATTATATGACATCATTATGCCGGCGAGAGGTCGAAATTTTTGTTTTTTCGATGACAAAGTAATTTATTAGTTTTTAAAGTTTATAAGTTTTGAAGTATCTTATTCAATATATCTATCGGTAAGTAACATTTTTTTACATACATACATATATTTTTATTATCTAAAAAATATTATCTAAAAACATTACTATTATATAAAAAACAGACACGCTTTTCGCGACCAATCAATGTCGCTTTCGTTACAAATCTTTTCTATCAGATAAAAGCAAATCAGCTACAATAAGTTTACTAAAGTAACTTTGCAATTTTCTTTATCCCAAAGTATCCATGTAATAACAATAGTCATGCCAATGAATTAGAAAAGGATGCGACGGTACCATTTTTTGGAGCCAACATTATATTGGTAACCCAAAAGAGAGTCAAGTAAATTAACACTAGTGTTTATTATAAATTCGAACCACATTTGGACAAGAAACCAGGATTTTTCTGCTTTTGATTTTAAAATTTCTGAACTTCTGTTGTTGGTTGATTACCAACATAGTTTGATAACTAAGTTGCCATTTTATTATCAAACCAACACACTGCAGATAACTTTACTCCTTCAATAATAGTCAATTGCTAAATATAATACCCACATTTTTGCTGTTCAAGTTCTTTTTTCGTTGGTAAAGGTTAATTTTTAATCGGTTTTGACGAACAGTTTCTAACATAAGTATAACTTGGTATACTTGCAATGGTATACTGTTAAACTAGTTCCCAACATCAAATTTATGGTTGCAATTACGAGGAACAATGCGTGCAAGCCTTATAACAACGTTTTTACTAGCACCAATATCTGGTTTATTTGGAGCACACACATTGTCAGATTTTCAAGTAAACAATTCAAAAATATAACTTAATTCTTGAAACATCAATAAAAAACTATACTTTGTATTCCCATTTATACGGCTTTATTGGGTTATACTGTTTTAGTAAACTGCGTCCTTTAAATGAAATAATTTGTTCATCAACTGCTAAATTTTTTTCAATCCGAATATTTTTAAGACACTCAACAAACTTTGTGAGCCAGGATCTTACTTTGTGTAATTTGTCCCCACTAGCTGCCTCATAATTGTCAGAAAAATATAAAAAGCGTTTGATTTCTTTAAATGAATTAAGACTCTAAAAAATATAAGCAATAAATTTCTTCATATCACTGGCAGTACATTTTAATGGTATTTCAGGTCTTGTTTGTAGTACTGAATACATTGAAGTATAGAAATCGATATCAGCCAGAAGCTCTTTTGGCAAAAGGTGAAAAAAAAAGCTAACTTCCATACCAGATTGCTAATATGTTCTGCAAATGCAAAAATGTCATTTTCTATAACTTCAACTTTGCCTTTAAGCATTTTTTCTTGTTTCCATATTGGATGTTTTTTTGGATATTTGTTTTTGTCATTATAGAAATAATAGGCATAACTGATTTAGTGTCACTTTGTTTGGATTCTCTATCTCTCACTTCTTCAGATTCACCGCTTGATTCGAATATTTCATTTGGTCTCTTTTGAATATTAAAATCTGTCGCTTGTGAGTCGTCATCAGACAATAGCCATTCATCAGAACTTCTATCAGACTATCTTCTATGCAGGTATTGGAACATAGTTTGTTGACCTCACCTGGCGAGCTAAAGATTTTCCATAAAATGAATCAGCAGTTATTGCTCAAAATGCAAAACAAACTATTACTTATATCAAAATTAATATTGTTATAATACCATATTTTTAAAACATACATAAATTAATATTACTTAATTTATAACTTAATTTTGTTTAAGTTTCACAGAACTCAAAACAAAAATAATACTTTCAAAATACGCATAATAATAAATAAAATTATGTTTACATAAATAAACTTTTCACGCATGCTGTACAATATCTGATACAATTATATATAACAAAATTACATATTGTTACAAGTGTGAAAAAACTCTAGACTAACTTTTTTTAACAAATAGCGACATGGATATTTTCGTTGCAATTTCACATTCTTAGTTTTCTAGATTGTATGAACATATTATAGGTGAAGAACTAACCAGAATAGCTTTTGTCGTCCTAGTTGCTATTTTGATAATTTAGAAATAAAATATTGTCAATGTAACTAGATAATTGAAAATTTTTATAGTTAAACTTGGAAATAAATTATTAATGAAACATCCAATTAAAATATATTGCTGAAATCATAGTTCGTGTTACCATGCTATCCTTTATTATAAATTGTATCATATATGATATGCTATACTCTATATGAAAGGGGTTAATAGCACAGTCAAAGTTTTCAATAACCATTGTCCAATTTTCAGGCTCATCATCAAAATTTTCTAATTTTAAAATTGGTAATTGCATTGTTTTTAAAGCTGTTTATTGAACTGAGTCGTTTTTTAAATCAAAGTTTTTTAATTGTTTGTTAATTTCAGAAATCTCGCGTTTAAATGAGACAAAATTTAGTTGACAATTCAACTTCGTTTTGTAGTTCTTCTTTACCTTTAATAAGTAAGGATGTTTCCTCATACAATTGGATGATTTTATTAATTTTCTTGTTTAATTTAACTTTTAAATTGTTTGAATTGTGATGTTGATTTTCGTCATCACTATTTTCTATAATATCCGAAGATTTTCCAAACAACTTGGTTAAAAGTTTAATGTTGGCAGTTCTAATTCTTCGTTTAGTTTGTATATTAGATATTTTTACTTTTTATTTTATTTTACTTAAGAATAAAACTGACAAATACAGGTAGGTATAGCTTAAAAACACAAACACCTTAAAAACTACTAAGTCATAATTTATGTTCTTGTCAAGCACTGTATGAGCTTTATATTTATAAACGCATAATATCATTTGTTTTGAAACTCCATATAAATACTCTCTGCAAAAAAATACAAGTTTGACTATTTTCTTATTAATAATATGTGAAAAAAGCAATTTAAAAATAAAAAACAAATTAATTTTAAACTAAAAAAACACAGTTTTTGGCATGGGTAAGCATCAATTTAAAAATAAGATTGCAATTCCTTTTTTTTTAGATAACTATACTGTTGCTACAAATAAAAATAAAAAAAGTTTTCACAATATCCTTCTCTGATTGATAAAATAAGCTTTTTACTAGCAGTAGAGACGTTTGTAGTTTTTAAGGGTACAAAGAGTAATACAAACAATGAGGCACAAAGTCAAAATTTCTTTCCGGAATCAAAAAGTTACATTTCAAATCAACATAAAACATTTCCCCAATTGATGTTATCGCTTTCCGCGTCACTTAAATTGTCTTTATATTTAGCATTTGTTTGGTTGATGTGGCTAGTTTAATCATTATTGGCTTCATTCCATCAACTCGAAAAGAAATTTTGCTGCATACTGATTTCTTTATCTCGTGGCAGACTGGGCACTCTTTAAAACCCTTTACTGCACAAATGCCATTGCAAACACATTTTAATTTACATTTATAAAATTGTTTTTTTTCTTTATCTTTTTCTTTCTTTTTTTTCTCCTTATGATCTTTTTTTTTCCTTTTTCTAATTTCAATCAACTCAACCTGTTCAATGATGTTTTGGGCTTCCATTGACCCATGTATGTTTGTGACACGTATGTTTTTTGTTTTATTCATGTCTTTTGGCTTTACCTTGTTTACTGTAAGCAAACCTGGTATATCTTCTAGAATTAAACTTTTTTCATAACTTTCTTTCATAATCATCTGCGACTGCTCGAACATAAATTTCCAATAATTAGCTGATCCATAACGATGATTTATTTTTGCTAATTCGGGAAATGAATGTGGAGTAATTGGTGTTAACAAAACATTTGCTGATGAAAGTGTGCATATTTTCTTTGATGTACTTAGAACAAGATTGCTAGAAGGCTCTTGTTCTTGGTTTTGAACCATACAGTTTGCAGCCTGTTGAAATTTATCTTGCTGCATATTATTTACATTTAAACCTTCTTTAGATATGCCAACTCTCTTTGCAGCATTAATTATGGTATCCCTTGAAGCCCATTTATTCCACATTTCTCCTAAAATTGTCATGAAGCCTTCTCGGTTTATTGTTTGGAAAGTTGTAAAAAGTTCATCTCTTTTTTCGTCATATTGACGATGCATGTTTTGATTAGGACTTTGATCTAACAGTTGAGTAACCTCAGTTGTATCATGAGGACTTATAAACAAGTTAATTTATTTTTCATGGAGGAAATGTAGAACATTGTAGTCAAATCTTGAACTGTGTCCATCTGCTAGCATTACAACAGGTGGTTGTATATTTTCTTCTGACAAATATATATCAAAATTTTTGTGTAGGTCCAATAAAGAATGGTTATCCTGGCTTCCTTTTTCATTAGATGATATAATTAAATTTTTTATATTTTTGACAGCTGTTTTTGGGGCCATATGACTTGTGATATCTTTACCAGCAAAAATAACTTGTGAAACAACAATTTCGCCTGAAATGTAAAATAAAAAAAAATTACTTATGATTAAACCTATACTTAACATAACCATGGGGATAAAAACATTCACTAAAAACAAACACTAAAACGATTGACTAATACTTCTTAAGCGATGATAACATGATTGGTTGTTTTTTTTCTTCAGATAAATGCAAATTATTGCATAGGTACATTTACATAAATAGTTTGTGTTATTATTACTTGCTAATGAAACAACTGGGCATATTGTTATTGATTCACGATTCTTCCTAATCATTTTTCTGCAAGGTTCCCCACGTGCAACATACGCGAGCCCGGAATTTGTTCCATCAACCCCATAATTTATGAACTGGGGTGTTTTGTCAAAATTAAAAATTCTTTTTGTATCAATATCACCCTTCCGCACACCAGGTTCAAGTTTTTTTGAGTTTGTGGAAATCTCACATTTAATAAGTTCTTCAGCCAACGAATCTAAAAGATAAATTCAAAATGTTTTTGCTAGTACACTGCACCCTAGGGCTAATCTAAGACATTTATATATCTGATATATACGATGATATTATCATCGTTTTAATTATGGAGCATATCAGCAAATAAAGTACAAAATATATTATTAATTATTTTCTTACCTAAATGTGACTCAGCCATACCCTTTGTGCAGTTCAATGCCCTGTTAATAGGTACATTTCCTTGT